GTGAGTCTGGTTGGCCATGAACGTCAACGTGTTTTATCTTTTGATGAAACAAGTGTCAGTGACGGTAACCCTTGTCATGTGAGGTCATAACTCATGTCACCTCACCTCACACCTGCAGGCAGAGGCAGCACCTGTGATCACCTGCCTTAACTACCACTCCCCTATATTCTGGCATCAGTGGCTGTAACACTTGTCATGTGAGGTTATAACTCCTGTCACCTCATGTCTACATTATTAACATCATGGACACAACAGGGAGGAAAGGAACGCCTGTAGGCAACTGTATATATAGTTATAATTATCCTCTCTTAAACTGCACTTATTTAAATACTTGGCTAAAACTGAAATGCATTGGTTTTCTTTTAACCTTTCCTTCTATGTATCACCCACTGCACTGATTGGTGACCTTAGCTAGAGTTATATGCAAGGTTAGACATTCTGTTAGTATTATTTTCTATGTGAGATACTGAGATAACAAAGTATAGTTTGTAGAACCCATAAAATGCTCTGTTTATACGGGGTGAGAGGTAGGCGAGGGAGCGCGGGAGTCTACCTGCTGACGTCAGCTCAGCTCAGCTCCTCTTCTATAGACCTTGGGTCGAGTCTTCCTCCTGCCTCCAGGTGAATGTGATGCACAAGTTATAACGTAATAAACTTGGCGAAGTTCCTGGCCTTCAGCCCTGGCCTTCAGCCCTGGCCACCCTGAGCTGACCCTCACCCCCCCCACTGAGCTGGTTCTCAGCACTGACCTCCCTGAGCTGGTCCTCAGCCCTGATTCCCCTGAGCTGGTCCTCAGCCCTGACCACCCTGAGCCAACACTTCAGCTCATCCTTCACCCGGTGTGTTGGTCTTGTGGGGTTTTTTTAACATGAGCGTCAACTCATCTTCCTAGATATATTTTCCTAAATATTTTCAACAATATTCCAACATTTAAATTTATTTTCCAACCTGATATTAAGCATTAAAATATATACAGTTTATCGAATATTATTTTGTTGTAGATCCCACACACTGGCATATTTTGGTGAACATTTTCAATACTTTTCAAACTTTTTTTTTTTTTTTCAATTTGAATACCAAACATTAAAATGAACGTTGTTTGCCATACTATATTTTCATCACAACATTCAGGGCTCATACGTTTTTGAGGCTGTGTTTGTTGGTGTATAACGTATGAATAATGAACACGTTTAATTACGGTAGTATCTAATCAAACGCGTTGTACAGCAAAAAGAAATTTTATTTAAGTAGAGTTTTTTCTTTTCTGTTCTCCGTTGAAGCATCTCTTTGATCATCTCATAACGCTACGGGGGAAAAACCCGCGTACAAACACGTATAAACACACATACTCGTACCTACACACACACACACACACACACACACACACACACACACACACACACACACACACACACACACTCATGTTAATTTAGTGCTTTAACATGTCCCCCCCCCCCACTACCCTCTCAGTCAGTTCATAAAGTAACGGAGAAAAAATTGCAAAGATAAATGTTAAACAGTTTGTAAGATCTGGCCAGCCAATGGTCAGCTTCCCACCACACCAGTCAGACACTACCACCACACCAATCAGATCCTCCCACCACACCAGTCAGATCCTCTCACCACACCAGTCAGATCCTCTCACCACACCAATCGGACCCTCCCACCACACCAGTTAGACACTACCTCAGATCACCACAGATCCTCTCACCACACCAATCAGACCTTCTTCCCACCACACCGTTCCTCAGACCTCCCCACCACCTCACAGACCTTCCCACCACACTAGTCGGACCTTTCCCACCACACCAGTCAGACCTTCCCACCACACCAGTCAGACCTTCCACACCAGTCAGACCTCCTACCACACTCAGTCAGGACCCTCCCACCACACCAGTCAGACCTCCTCAGACCTTCCCACACCAATCAGACCTTCCAGTCAGACCTTCCCACCACACCAATCTCCACCACACCAATCAGACCTTGAGACCGTCCCACCACAATCCCTTCCCACCACACCAGTCAGTCACCGTCCAACCACCCAGACTGTCCCACCACACCAATCAGATCACCACACCAATCAGACCGTCCAACCGCCACCAATCAGACCGTCCCACCACAATCCGTTCCCACCACACCAGTCAGACCTTCCCACCACACCAGTCAGAACGTCAATCACAATCAGACCGGACCAACCACACCAGCAGACTCCAATCACACCAATCAGACCGTATCACCACACCCTTCCTACACCAGTCAGACCTTCCCACCACAATTCACAGTCAGACCTTCCCACCACAATCAACCACAGACCCTTCCACCACACCCAGTCAGACCTCTCTACCACAATTCAGTTCCCTCAGACCTTCCCACCACAATCCAGTCAGGACCGTCCAATCACACTTAACTCAAAACCCTCTGTAATCACACACCAGTCAGACCCTCCCACCACACCAGTCAGACCACCACAATCCAGACCTTCCCACCATACCACAGACCTTCCCACCACACCAATCAGACCTTCCCACCACACCAGACCTCCCACCACACACCAGTCAGACCTTCCCACCACACCTTCCCGACCGTCCAATCACACCCAAATCAAACCTCCTCCACACCAGTCAGACCACACCAGCTGACCTTCCCACCACACCTAGTCCTGCACCACACCAGTCACCCTCTCCACCACACCAGTCAGACACTTTTTCAACCAGTCAGACCCTCCACCACCAGCAGACCCCTCCCACCACACCAATCAGACTTCTTTCCCAGACCCCTCCCACCACAAATCAGACCTTCTAACCACACCAATCAGACCTTCCAACCACACCAACCCTTCCAGACCTTCCCCCACACCAACTGGGGACTCCTCCCAATCAGACCTTCCCACCACAATTCAGTCAGACCCTCCCCACTCCCACCACACCAGTCAGACCTTCCCGTCAGACCTTCCAAACTACACCAGTCAGACCTTCCAACCACACCCAGTCAGACCTCCCACCACACCACCACCCTCTTCCACCACACCACCACACCAGTCAGACCTTCCAACCACACTAATCAGACCTTCCCACCACACCAATCAGACCTTCCCACCACACCAGTCAGACCCTCTCACCACACTAATCAAATTCCTTACATAGTGAGGAACGAGACAGTAAACATTTCAACAATAGTACCATTACTCATGTGTTCTGTTTGCTACTAACTACGACGTCTTGTTACAGAAACCAATCACGACCCTTCTCTTCTATAACCTCCCTTAGCCCCCCTTCCTTCCTCTCCCTCCCCCTCCCACCCATTCCACCCAGACAAGCCTTATCAACACCTTCAGATTTCTGCGTATTTGGTGCACACTTTTTTATTGACTGTTATTCTATGCCGGACTCTCTCTGACAAACAGGGTTAATAAGCTTGTCAAGTTAGTGGAAGCCAGAGGATGTGTTTTTATTTTGTCCCTGAGGCGTCCGTGATCGTTCCCCCTGCAAGACTTTTCCTACACACACACACACACACACACACACACACACACACACACACACACACACACACACACACACACATATATATATCTTCCTTGCGTGTTGCCCCCCACGTGTTATGGTCGTCCCCTCCCTCCCCTCACCACGACCCCGTTCTCTCGTCTTCTTCACCACAGGAGCCATATTACTGCTTATTAACTTGTGTTTACCTGCTGTCTCCTGTCTTGTGGGGCAGATCAACAACCCTCTCTCTCCTCTTCTTCCTCCTCCTTCTCCCCAACTCTTCCATTGTCTCTCCCTCGTACTTATTTTATACTTCCTCCGCTCATCCTCCTCCTCCTCCTCCTCCCTCTGTCTCTCCCTCCTCCGTCCTCTTCAGTCTCCCTCCTCCCTCCCCATCTCCTCCTTTGTATTTCTCCTTCTTAGTCTAGCCTTTCTTCCTTTGTTCCCTTCTCTTTATCCGTCTTTTCTTTTTCTTTTCTTTTCTCCTGCTTTCTCCTGTACTCTCCGCTCATCTCCTCCTCCCTCCTCTGTCCCTCCAACCTTTTCTCTGTCCCTCCATCCTCCTCCTTTGTCCCTCCATCCTTTCATCCTCCCACCCCTTCCTCTTCCATCCCCCTCCCCTACCTCTCTCATCCTCCTCCTCCGGCCCTTCCTCCTCTCTCCTCCTCCTCCTGCTCCCTCTGATCCTCCCTCTGCCCTCCATCCTCCTCCTCCCTCCTCTGCCCCCTCCATCCTCCCTCCTCCTCCTCTGCTCCCTCCATCCTCCTCCTCCTCTGCCCTCCATCCTCCCTCCTCCTGCTCCTCCATCCTCCCTCCTCCTCTGCCCTCCACTCCTCCCTCCCTCCTCGCCCCTCCATCCTCCTCCCTCCCTCCCTCCTCTGCCCCCCAACATCCTCCTCCTCCTCTGCTCCTCCATCCTCCTCCTCCTCTGCCCCCTCCATCCTCTGCTCCCTCCATCCTCCCTCCTCTGCCCTCCTCCATCCTCCTCCTCCCTCCCTGCCCTCCATCCTCCTCCTCCTCCTCTGCCCTCCATCCTCCTCCTCCTCTGCCCTCCCCCCTGCACTCTTCCCATTCTTCGGTGATTTATACCATGCAAAGTTAAATTAGTCCCCCCTTCATTCTGACCTATGTCCATAATTACCGTATGTGTGTGCGTGTGTGATGTCTACTTCCATGTTGCGTGTGAGTGCATGTTTATTATCAATGTGTGGGTGTTGTGTGTCTGAATGCATGTTGAATATGCGTGTATTGTGTGCTAGGTATTTACATTTTAGGTTTGAATGACAATATTGCTTTTGTGTGTATAATGTATGTGTGTGAAAATTGCATATTTGTGCCTGTTACGTGTGTGTGCATATTGTGTGTAAGTTCGTGTGTATGCATGTTGTTTTGGATGCATATTACGTGCGAGTGTGTGTTGTGTGGATGCGAATGTTGTGTTTGCGTGCACCTAGCCGCCTAGAGTGTGACTCATTTATTTGATGAGTACATATTTTTTATCCAAACAAGACTGAC